TTGGAAAAAATAAAAATAGGTAAAATCACGGAATTCAAGATGCCACTTGATTGTTTGACTGCAGAGCTCAATAAAAGAAATGCTTTGGGCATACATGACGACATATCACGTCTTGCAATAATGTCAACAGGCAACAATGATAGCAACTTGTGTATAAATTGCGATAGGTCTTCTCGTTTTCACCCCGTGACTACTGACTATTTGTTTGCAAATGACATGTGCATTGGATCTTTAGATGGGCTACACGTGTATAGCCCCGAGATTCTACCGAGGAAAATAATGGGTAATTTTTAACATACCTATCCATTATCGTGACTTATCAACAACTTGTGTTGATCTAGCTGAATCAATAGTCCACACGATGTGTAGTTCTCACGATCTTAAACTTACTACTAGACATGATAATGTCAACGGTATACATATAACTGAGCTAAAAGATCATTATAAAAGTATTTTTCAATGTTTGTGATTTTAAATACGGCAAACATGTACAGTCAGAGTTAATTCCAACGTTAGGAGCGACTGGTGTTGTTTGTTGAGAAATACCTGCTGTGTATCACTATTGACCAGCTCAAAACAAATCGACTTACCACACGCATACAATGACTGGATACTTATTTTTATTTGAATTTTTCCTTTAATGGTTTTAGTGAACATATCTTGTTTTATATTAGTTTCAATAGTGGTATCGCGTATTAATTAAAGCAAAATGATTAAGAATATGGTTGTTCTTTATTAAGCGTGCAGATGATGCGTAGCACTGTGTTTTTATGGGTACACAGTTCACGCACATGTTATTTATTCAAGAAACTTTGTTGAATAAAACACATTTAAGTTTTTTATCTTGTAAATATTTCTCTTTTAAACATACATTTAATTTTCAATGTTATGTGTAAGATGAGTAAAAGAAAAAAACATTGGCTAAAAGTTCCTTTAAAACAACAATAACTATTTAGTTATGTTTTTGTACTATACGGTCAACGGTGTCTGTGACCGAGACGACATGCGGCTATAAAACCGGTTCAGATTCAGACTGGTTTTTTTTTCGAGTATTAAAAAAACTGAGAAGGTAGGTAAATTCTAAGAGCTAGAGGCTTTAGTGGCGGCAGTGTTGTATTATACAGACCGGTATTTAAATATAATTTATAAATGTATTCATATTTTATATTTTATTTTTATAATACATTTTTTACATCAGTTCAAATAGTAGGATTCTTTTGACGACTTTCCCTATATGTTCTCTAATTTTTCCTCTACTTTGTAAGTATACCTACGTATATGGATGATGACCCTCGGCGATCATGAATATGTAATCTCAAGGTCGTTGAATTAAAATTGTCGCCACCGAAACAATTTCGCATGGGCCCATAACTTTCATTTTTATTTTTTCCTTAAACTGCAATAAAGCCCACAGTAATTCTAAAAAGGAGCTATTAACAAGAACTAATTAAATTGATATTGTTTCGTTGCATTCGAAAATATTTGTTTAAAATGGTTAAAATTTTATTACTAAAAAATCCGGGTTCGCATTTGTATAACGTTAGTGTATAAATAAATAAATATTATCTTAATGTTCTTTTTTTTTATGAATTAATAAGAATAGTACTATTTTTTGAGTGTTAAAAATCTAATTAATGAGCCATAAAATTTGAGCTGTTATTTCATTAGCGTATCTTCTTCTTCTTCTTCTTCCTAACCTTAGTCCCAACTAATTGGGGTCAGCCATCCTTATCCTAAACTTCCTAATGACACGATCTCCTACATCATCTACGCTCACATCAGCTGTCCTCATTCGCATTCAACAGCATCCCTCAATCTCTTTTTTGGTCTTCCTCTACCTCTTCTTCCTTCATTAGGAATATATTAGTGTATAAATACTTTAAGTTTAATATTTTATGAGACGTAAATAGAAAAAAAAATCGGGACACTTGTTATATAATTTAATAGTTTTCCCCACTTTATATAATGTTTTACATTTATTTTAAAAATATTTTNGATTCACTTAAATGCATTTTCATATAGCTGCTACACATAATTATTTAACGTATGTACTTGATAAATAGAAGTTTTACTTAGCAATCACATTCTAGAATATTTAAGTATAATTTCTGGAGTCCTGGATGAGTAGAGCCAATTGTTTGAGACTATCCGGATCGTCTTTTCTGTGAAAGCGATGGGAGATTGGCATGCTCACAGAAGGTCGGATGGTGAAAGCGATTAGGGGTCAACCGGTAGAGTGTGTCGTCTTCGGACATTTTGGAAAAAATAAAAATAGGTAAAATCACGGAATTCAAGATGCCACTTGATTGTTTGACTGCAGAGCTCAATAAAAGAAATGCTTTGGGCATACATGACGACATATCACGTCTTGCAATAATGTCAACAGGCAACAATGATAGCAACTTGTGTATAAATTGCGATAGGTCTTCTCGTTTTCACCCCGTGACTACTGACTATTTGTTTGCAAATGACATGTGCATTGGATCTTTAGATGGGCTACACGTGTATAGCCCCGAGATTCTACCGAGGAAAATAATGGGTAATTTTTAACATACCTATCCATTATCGTGACTTATCAACAACTTGTGTTGATCTAGCTGAATCAATAGTCCACACGATGTGTAGTTCTCACGATCTTAAACTTACTACTAGACATGATAATGTCAACGGTATACATATAACTGAGCTAAAAGATCATTATAAAAGTATTTTTCAATGTTTGTGATTTTAAATACGGCAAACATGTACAGTCAGAGTTAATTCCAACGTTAGGAGCGACTGGTGTTGTTTGTTGAGAAATACCTGCTGTGTATCACTATTGACCAGCTCAAAACAAATCGACTTACCACACGCATACAATGACTGGATACTTATTTTTATTTGAATTTTTCCTTTAATGGTTTTAGTGAACATATCTTGTTTTATATTAGTTTCAATAGTGGTATCGCGTATTAATTAAAGCAAAATGATTAAGAATATGGTTGTTCTTTATTAAGCGTGCAGATGATGCGTAGCACTGTGTTTTTATGGGTACACAGTTCACGCACATGTTATTTATTCAAGAAACTTTGTTGAATAAAACACATTTAAGTTTTTTATCTTGTAAATATTTCTCTTTTAAACATACATTTAATTTTCAATGTTATGTGTAAGATGAGTAAAAGAAAAAAACATTGGCTAAAAGTTCCTTTAAAACAACAATAACTATTTAGTTATGTTTTTGTACTATACGGTCAACGGTGTCTGTGACCGAGACGACATGCGGCTATAAAACCGGTTCAGATTCAGACTGGTTTTTTTTTCGAGTATTAAAAAAACTGAGAAGGTAGGTAAATTCTAAGAGCTAGAGG